CTGCTTCCAGCTTGCTTCCAGTTCCAGCACTTCATAAATTTGAACCTTTCAGCCAAAACCCTCACAAGTCTCGAATAATGGCAAACAAACCAAGCTGGTTTTTGTTCCTATTCATAAATATCTTGCAGTCTAGTGTTTTATCCCTCCGGTCATAAAAAGCTTTGACGCTTTGGGGACATCCTGCTGACCCTTTGGGACTTAAAGCAGGATGAGATTCCCTGAGTGAATAGAAGATGGTGAGCTGGGGGAAATGCGGCTGACATGATCATTATTGTTCCCTCCTTTAGACAGACGTTTTTACCTGATAGATGTGGAATATAAAATTGGCTATGCTGCTCTCAGACATGAACTGATGTCAGTCACCTTAATCACACTGGACTTGAACATCTGCGTTATCTGGGGGAGTTCATCCCAAAGCTCTGCTTCCTTTAACTCCAAAGTTGTCACGCGGGCTCACACAATTTCTCTTCAGTAGCTTTTTTTCTTCTTCATTATTTCCTTTCACGTGCTGTCCCTCTATCGGCTACTGGATGGGGGTTCCAAGGAGGAGTTCTGGGAAGGAAATCAGAGCCTGTTGCTAAATAGGGCTTCCCCCTCACTTCTGGTAAATTTCCCAGCGAGAGAAAGCAGCCAGTCCTTTTCCCTGCTAGCTTTTAATATAAAACCTCCACACCAGACATAGGAGTTCAGAAAATTACAGAACAGGTTTATTTCATATGCTTTTTTGGTTAGATATGTCAGCTCTACAGGATCTGCATATTGCAGGCAGCTGTTGACTCTTTTCTTCCCCTTGCACGACGGTTTGTTGAATTTGGTCCACAGAGAATAAAACCAGTCATCTACAATACAAACGCAGGGAAGAGAAGCAACGACTTCATTTAAAAGGACGCTTGCAAGATGTGTCTGTAGGGGTGGGTTCAGGGCCAACTTGATTTAAGTTCCAGACATGCAGAGGGAAGCGAGGGTGTTTTGTTACCAGGCCTATATGGTCCTGTCTTAAACATAGGCTTCTCTATAGGTAGGAAGGAATCACGTGTGCAGACGTATCCACGTGTTTGGCCAGGCCGGGGCTTTGAGAGGAAAATACAGAAAACATATATAGAATAAGAAGAAATGTGTGAGACACAAAGTCTGTTTCTCCATTTCACCTCCCATAAGGTAGAAAAAAAGATCATTCAAAAGTATTCTTTTCATTTGTCCTCATATAGATCTTTATTTAGATTTCGATGAATATTCCACTCAGCCTCAGCAAAAGTACGTTTTCCCCCACCCACTCGGAGAGGAAAGCGAGACGAGCCTTACATAATACATAGTCTGAGACTATATTTGACCATTGAGCTTCAAAGCACTCCAACTATGCAACAAACCTTTATCCCACCTCGTTAATGTTGGAACTGCATGATACACTAAGAATGTTTTAGGTTTGTTACCCAACAGCAAAACAAATCCTCATAAAGGTAACATTTGTGACTATCCTTTCCATTTGACAAACAGAAGGCAATATGCTTATCTCAGGTTAAACAAAGAACAAGGCACCAGTAGTTTCACATGAGAGTCCATAAAACAGTTTGCTGGCATCTTCAGACTTTTATTTCTTCTGTTGTCAGCCAGTACAGGTGTAGGTGAGGACACTGATGATAGAGGAGTGTAACGCCTGGACGGTAACACTCGAATCTCCAGTGTGTTTTGCTGTGTGTGTTTTTCCCAACAGCTCACTTATCTGCTCTCCATAGCACTACGGTAATCAATCAAGCAGGCAGCGGAGGGAGTCTTACGTCAGTGGCTCTGCTGCCTGCGCAATATTGCTCTGCCATTCCATAGATTTGTTAGATGGAGCAATATGGGAAAGCAAATGCTCTCTTATCACATTTTCCCTCCATTGCAGGAAGGCCCACGCTGACCGCTGAGCCCAACCTGGTTACATGGGCAGGATGTCTGCTCTGTCTTTGCCAGGAAAAACGAAAAGGAACCAAATTAAACAATTCATAAATCAACGGTCTAAATCTCCTGATTCAGTGAGATCAGCAGCTGCCCAACTCTTTAATCTGTGGCAACAGCAGACTGTAATTACAGCGAAGACTTTGCTCGTCTTGTGTAACATATCTGACTGAGTATTGGGTCAAATGACAGAAGTCTTCTTGAGGAAAACAATTGACAGATATTTTGGGAGCACCAGCAGAAGAGTGAGAAAAGCGTCTTCACAACCTTTATCTGGTGTTACAGACATATTCTGTCTACACACAGTTCATCACTGTGACACCTAAGTGCTTTTTTGTTTGGCAACATTCGTTTCCATTCATGCTTTTACAGCATACTATGACGTCCAGTAATAGTTCCTCTTCTCCCTGCAGACAAGGCAAAGACAAATACAGATATATGACAGTATAAAAAAAAATACTATCTAGGCAAACACCCCCCTTCCCACCCGCCCACCAATTGATTTTACCCACAAACATTTCAGTGTCATTCATCAGATAGCTTCATTATGTTTGTTCACGGTTAGGACTAGAACACAAGAAGGCCTAATGCAGCATTTGTTCAAGGTGTGTTTAAATATTGCCTGCTTCACCCCACCTTAAACACTCACAGTCTTAGTTGTCATAGCGTCAGGAGAATGTCAACTCAGGGATGAAGGGAGGCTCCGGCAGGTGTTTGAGACTGACTTCAATTAACAAAACCTGAAACAGGAAGCGAAGCCACACAGCTGGTGTTGATGGTCAGACATTATGTCTTAAGTGGACTAACTGATTTATTCCGGCACATAAACGTCTTGCCACCACGGCCCAGCGAGTCCCTCTGACACGGGGCTGTGGGGGAACCTGAGAATGTCAAGTAGACTGACATTTATCTGACGTCCTTTTTTTTCTCACGTCCCCAAGTGTTTCACATTCAGGTTACACGCCGCTCCGAGGACGCACAGCTGCCACAGGCTTGGTTATTTATAGTCGCATGACGCAGATATGGCTCATGTGTACCTGGCCGGACCCTCAGCTGGAGACGCCGCTGCCTGGCTGCCCAACAACCGTGGATGCTGTTGCCACAGAAACAGAATTGTGTTGACATCACAGGACCCAGAGTGATCCTTTGTAGGGAGCAAAACTCACGGAATGATCAATTCTAGACCTCACAGAGGTTTGTGAAACATCGCCAACCTCCACTTACGGGTTACATGACCCATGTGTGTGAAGCAAAACAAGCCCTCGCACACTTCGGTTTGGGAAGGATGTGTGTGTGTTTTTATCACTTCAAATAAACCCCCAATCATGAAATGAACTTTACTCTCTTGTAAACATTTTACAGGTTCACAACCTGCTGTGTGGACAGTTATGATCAGTGTGAGGGTTTTATAAATGAGGATAAATCTTAAAAGAGGAAATAACAAAACTGTTCAGCTGTATTTTTCACTGACAAAGTATATATTGAAGCAATCCAAAGGCCATCTCATCACTAAAGATGTAACGTCTGCTATTGTGAGTAATGTCTATGCTTGTGTTGAGGTCCCTCATTAAGGGGCATTTAGTGTTTTTAAACACATCGGCTGCATTCAGGGCAGCTTAAGTTTTAAGGCAATGGTAGTGTGACTAAAGCAAGTGTGAACAAAGTGGAGAAATTCATCAAAGTAAGCAAAAAGATGTGTGTATAGTCCTTGTCAGACTGGCCGATGCATAGGTCATCTGGCAGAAAGGCTGACAAAGTTCTGTTCACACTCGAGGAATGTATCTGTACCTGTAAAAACACAATCACAGGAAGAGTGAAAAGCAATATCAGCTGTGTGATGTCTGACAATGGAAATGGGAAGCACAGTGTTTCTACGCTTGCAGGCTGGATAAAGACACTCCTCAAAAGGAACAAGTTTCTACTTCAATCCTCTGGAAGGAAAGACAAAGCATATTTAACAAGTCATCAGCAAACAACAGTTCACAGTTCCGATAGTCTGTTATCTCAGTTCAAACACTGACAAACAGCTTCTTGACTTCAGCAAAATAGATGATTGATTTTCTGGGAGTTTTATGGAGTCACGTTTGGTCATCGGACGGATTAATCTGCTGCATTTATTAATAAAAATACCCACATGTATCTGTGATGTTTACAGCTCACTGATGAAATTTCAACCACACCGACAAATCAACCACAAAAAAAGAAAAATGATCATAATGAGACACCCAAAGACTCAGCTGACCCCAAGAGATCCCAAATGATGTGCACATAAGTTATAGTCTGACCTTATTCAGACAGAAAGCAGCCCTGATGAAACAAAGTGATGGCCTCTACACTCACCCATGAATTCACGCAAATGCCTTGTGTAAATTTGGCTTTGCCAGTTGATCTAAGATGCATGTTTGCACTCTGGGAATCGTCACACTCTACAATCTGTTTTGTTTCTTTGTCTGCCTGGGTGTTTTGGTCCTCAGTGGGATAAACCATGTTAGCCTCTCACAATCTATCCATGAATTTCCCACATGCCAGTTTTGGTCCAAACTTTGATGCCATTGCCATTTATCTGGTTCACAAGAAAGTGTTTAAATGGAAGCTATATGTCCAAGCAACACCCAGACTACTTGTATGGTCCAGTTTCCTTGCAGACCTCTCTACATCTCTACCTGTGTCTGACTGAATCCTTGTCTTTGCTTGCGGAGTTATCTTTAGATCTCTATGATACTGAATATGCAGCAAACCGGGGACTCGCAAGAAACGATTAAAAAAAAAACTTCCTCCACACTCTGCAAACATTTGCACCATGGACATTTCCTCATCACGACAAGCCCAGGAGGCGTTTGCAGCCTAAGTTTCATCCCTATAATCAGTCTTGAGCAGAAGTAGACACACGGGGCTGATTTCTCTCTGTGCTGAGGTTATATCGTGGCACACAGGATCCTTTGGTCAGAGGGCTGGACTGAGGGAAAACCCTGTCGGCTGGGCAGGCAGCTGGAGGGGAACAGAGGAGTGGAAACGGTCAAGTGCGTCACTTGAAGGGTGCCTCCTGCAGGCGGGCCGCTCCTGATCAATGACCAAAGCGAGCAGCCAATGGCAGGCCGGCCCATGCTAATGAGGAGGCTTTAAGCCCTCTGGACCTTCCTTATGAATCGGAGCTTTGCAGACTGACCGGATTCTAGCGGCTCACTCGGGAGGAAACGGCTGTTCCCAATCAAACCTCCTCACTTAAAGCAGAGCAGAACTTTTTTTTTCCCGTCTCTCTCTCTCACCCCCTCATCACATCTCAACCCTGACTGGACTCGTTCCAGCCGCTGACACTCGGAGGAATATCTGTTTTGTGCTGAAAGCAAGAGGACGGCCGTGCTGAGGGAAAGAGCCGCTCCAGCTTCTGCTCTTTTTAGCGTCTTCTTTTTGGGAGGAAGGTTAAGTTCGCCATGTCCGCTGCTCCGGATCAGAGTCGGCGGTTCTGCGTGTTGTCTTGGGATCAGGTGCAGCGCTTGGACTCGATCCTGGGAGAAGCGGTTCCGATCCACGGCCGTGGAAACTTCCCCACTTTGTCCGTGCAACCGCGTCAGATTGTCCAGGTACCTACACGCACGCACGGTGCCTCCATTTGATCATTGTTGGAATTTGAGTCTGGTAAACCCATCCATAGAGGAAGTTTGTGAACAGAACATATTGTACACTACAGTTGGATATGAACTGCGTACATTTTGATCGTTTTTAAAATCGTTTTAATCTTTTGAGGTCCTTCAAACGCAGCAAAGACCTGTTGGTTTTTCTACATGAGCCGTTTCTTTTTCGTACTTTTCCTCTGTAATAGCCAATATTGTCAGGACATTCGTCATATTTCTGATTTCTCTGTTTCCCTTTTAAGGCAGGTCGGTGTCTTGGGTATATACAGATAGATTTTTTTTTATGGTCTAGTCTTGGGGGTTCAGTATAATCTTGCATAAGATCTGGTTAGTCTCTAAAAGCGTCCGTCCCTGCCTGCACAGCTCCCTGAGCTGGAGTTTCATATTCCATAAGATCCACATGCCAGTCCCTCCTCTTATGCGCTGTGGCTGGATCCCCTTTCAACTCCCCCACAGGGTCCCTTGATAGCTGGCTTGCTTTAAAGTGCAAAGAAAATGCAGGGTTAGAATTTCAATATGAACGTGTGGCCGTTGCAGGGTCCTCTTTTCCATCCCATTTACACCCCGTCGTATCCAAGATGAGCTCAACGGGCTTCATGTTTGCGGTTGTGGAAAGATGAATGCTCCATTGAGCACATGGGAGGCTTAAATTGGGGGTTTGATTTCCAAGTGTGGGGACTCGTATGTTGCCCCTGGATTTGTGGAATCCCTGGGTGATTTTGTTTTGCTAAAGCAGGCTTTCTGTTACATAGATTTATTTCTGATCGCTGAGGCCTGTGCCCGCGCGACTTGTACGGCAAAACTTTGGTTGGGATGCACTTGCTCCTCTTCTGCTGTGCATCACATGAGTCACCGTTGAGAGTGTGGACCTTTGTCCCTCGGCGAGGGGGGGAGACGGAATAACCAGCTGCCAGCATCCACTCACTCCAGCATCACGAGTCCGAGGAGTTACGGCAGTGCAACTGCAGGTTAAGATAACAACCGCAGACTCTTAAAGGAGGGAGCCCGACTAGAGTGGAATCTCGAGTCGTGTCTCTACATGGATTCTGACGTCAAGCCAGCACAGGAATACCTGAGCTTCCACCGGCAGCGTCGGAGGGCCTAACCCCTGGCCTGTGTCTAAGCATGGAGCGGTCTGGAGGGAGGCGTTAGCCCTAGGCCCGATCATGGAGTCTGGCCTGTGTGCTCCCGCATGTCAGAGCTCCAACAAAAAGTGTTATAAAAAAAAACGACCACTATCATAGCTTCTGATTGGAGTTTGAACTTAGAAGATGCTATTTTATGGTTGGAAGATTACAGCCCTCTCACGTCCAATTTACTGCTGCACTGGTTTTGTTCTCCAGCCCCTCCTGTGATAGAGGTTGCCTTGCCTTCAGATGTTTGTCTACAGCCTGACCTAGTATGTATAAATAGAGCCGTTATGTTATCTGATCACCATGGGAGAGAGAGTTAACAGACGCTAATCTGACAGGTCGGTGTCAGTAGGGGGATTTAGGATTGTCTGTGAGTGTGTGACGGCTCATTTGTACAACCGGCGTTACTCTTTTACTTGTCTGCAGTAATAGTTTGCCCCTTTTTTTAGAAAATACAGTCCGACGAACGGATACATGACAAATGCAGCCAGCAAGATACTAATTTACAATGTCCCACACGTCTAAAGTTTAACAGCAAGCCCATCTGCTCTGTGTGCTCCAACCATGACAAATGTGAGAGCTTCTAATGTACAACAAAAGCTGTGCCGGTAATTTCTACAAATTGGTTAAGTCACTTCCGGCGTCCTAAAAAAAACTCATCCGCATGGAGTGTGATCATTCCCATCTCACTTTTGGCACTGAAGATAAATCGGTCTTTAGTGTCTTTTTTTTGAGGGCTCAAAAAAATCTATCTGCTAGATTTATCTAAATCTACTAAATTTATCCATCTACTTTTTCCAACTGCAGGAAATCAGAGCAGTAGATCAGCGTTTCTGATCTGAGAGCCTGAAGTTTGCTGTTTTTTTTTAACCAATATTAGTAAGATTCAAGCAGTTAAACAAGGTGTCACATGTCCCTGCCACATCAGATTTAAGAGTCACTTGCGAAAAATATAGAGGAATCCATTCTCCTCACATGCATTCTGACCCTGGTGTGACGCCTGCATTTACTCATAGGTCACTGGTTATTGTTGCTTGATGTCACAGGTCCTGCACGGTGATGATCGTTCCCTGTATTTTTGCTCAAATGCCAGAGTTATAAGTCTTGTCAGTGTGACTTTGATAAGACAATTTGACCCAGGCCAAATACTGACCTGGTGACTTTCCCCTCGCTGCTCGTTTTTGTACTGATTATGTTTGAATTCAGTGGAGACTGATGGTGATGAAATGGACTTTTGTGAGTGGTGGTATTGATCTTGCCTTTGCAAACTATTGATTTCCACTTGGCCCATGTGGAATTTACTCGCACGTCTTTTTAGCCATACCTTTTTCTTCTTTGTAAAGGGAAGAGGAGCATCCTATTTTTGAAATGTCCTTTTTTTAATCCTCAACTTGGATTTTGGCAGAACTTTTCCATCTGCTTATCAATAACTGTGCTGTGTGTCTCTGTTTCTTTGCCCAGGTGGTGCGAGCGAGGCTGGAGGAGAGAGGTGTGTGTGTCAAGGATGTGAGGCTGAACGGCTCGGCGGCCAGTCACGTGCTCCTGGAGGAGAATGGACTGGGCTATAAGGACCTCGACCTGATTTTTGGCGTGTCGCTGAAGGATGACCAGGCCTTTCGCCTGGTGAAAGACGTCGTCCTGGACTGCCTGTTGGACTTCTTGCCGGTCGGGGTCTCGAAGGAGCGCATCACCGCACTAACTCTAAAAGAGGCCTATGTACAGAAACTGGTGAAGGTCTGTAACGACACGGACCGCTGGAGTCTCATCTCCCTGTCCAACAACATGGGCAAGAATGTGGAGCTTAAGTTTGTGGACTCTTTAAGACGGCAGTTTGAATTCAGTGTGGACTCCTTCCAGATTTGTCTCGACTCTCTGCTTTTATTTGACCGTTGCTCGGAGACCCCCATGTCCGAGAGCTTTCATCCCACAGTGATTGGTGAGAGTGTGTACGGGGACTTCAAGGAGGCGATGGACCACCTGTGCCAGAGGACCATAGCGACCAGAAGCCCCGAGGAAATCCGGGGGGGCGGCCTGTTGAAGTACTGCCACCTGCTGGTGCGGGGGTTCACCGCCTCCTCGGAGGCGGACATGAAGCAGATGCAGCGCTACATGTGCTCCCGCTTCTTCATTGACTTCTCCGACATAGGCGAGCAGCAGAGGAAGCTGGAGGCCTACCTGCAGAACCACTTTGCGGGGATGGAGCACAAACGCTACGAGTGCCTGATGACGCTGCACCAGGTGGTGAACGAGAGCACGGTGTGTCTGATGGGCCACGAGCGGCGCCAGACGCTCAGCCTCATCTCCATGCTGGCCCTGAAGGTGCTGGCCGAGCAGAACGCCATCCCCACCGTGACAAACGTCACGTGCTACTACCAGCCCGCCCCCTACGTGCAGGACATCAACTTCAGTAACTATTACATCGCGCACGTGCAGCCGCCCCAGATCACGCAGTGCAGCCATTCCTATCAGACGTGGCTGCCGTGTAGCTGAGAGAGAGAGGCCAGCTCCAGGTGGACTGAAAAACCCAGAAGAAACTCATGTTTGCCAAATGTGACTTAATTAAAAACAATCCTGTACTGCTGTACATCTGATTGAGCCGACACATTCATTCTTCTCACTTTTTGTGTCTTGCAAGACATCTGTAAGATTGCTGGTCATTTCTGAGATGTAGCTATGATATCTTATTTATGTACCACAAAAATGAAGTCTTTATATATTTCAGAAAAAAAAGTTTTTTGAAGAAAAAAACATTTAAGGTGTTGTTATTTTCATACTTTTTTTTTTCTAATTACATACTGGACCAAAGAAATATTTGCTGTTCAGAAAGGGAATGTTGTTATGAATCTTGGTGCCTACATGATGTTCTAAAAGTATCTGTCAAGTCAGAACTGTTTTCTAGATGACTCTGTCTCTTTTCAGGAACAGAAATATTCAATTTTGTGAGATTATATGGGGAAATCCCCAAGTTTTTTGCATCGTTGTTATTTCATGCTGACTTTGATAATTATTGTGGACATTTGAGGTTCTAAGGGCTGCAGTTTGTTTAAGTGCTCATTATCTGAGCTGCTTCAACTTTTGCTCAGTCGAGTTGTAAACTGTCACATGGCTTTCATTAAATGTGAGAAATCTGGTCTGAAAACTGACTCCTCTTTTATTTCTTTTTTTTTTTTTTCTCCCCTCCTTTTTCCAGAAGGGGTGTGATAGATACAAGATTGTTTGTCCCAAACTTGATAAGCCAACAACAATCAGCTGGTTCATTTCCAGTAACTGGTCCAATGAAATGTATATACTGCTGACTGGAGTGAGTTGCATTTGTTAAACTGGAGCTGAGGATCCATTACAATCTGAGGACATGAACCATAAGGAGGCTTTTCTAAAGCACAATGGCTTCTCTCTCCTCTGTGACACTAAAGCTTTTTAACAAAGCCTGGCCTGTTCTCCCATCCATGTTACTATTCCAAACCAAGCCTTGTTTGCTTGACTGATACTATATCCATGTCATTTTGTCTGAGTCACAATTGAAAATCTTCAGAGATGCAAGAAGTGAGTTTATTAAAAGAAGGAAACTGGGAATGCCACAGAAAAGTGGTGCTAACAAACCCCACTACTCCTGTTTGGCTAGATAACTGCATCTTCTCTTCTTCTCTTCTGTGAAAATTCACATTAAACCCAGTGACGCCAGTTTGAGAAAAAGTGCTGATCAGAGTCACTGTAAAGTACAATAATCCCCATAAGATCCTAGCATCAAATTATTTTTCTTTTGACACATTCTCCAGAACATCTGGTCAGATTAAACAGTTGAGGGGGTTTTGACCTCAACTGCCTTCAAAGAACTGTGCAAAGATCCATTAATTTCTTATTCAGGTGTTCTCATGCAGAGCCTACGTAATTCTATTTGTGCTTACTGGCAGTTATTAGATTAAAAATATTTATTAGGATGTGAGCACTAAAGTGAATAGTTGCTGATCATGATCATGATTTTGATTTGATATTTTTTCTTTTATATTCAGACAAAAAAGTCAAAACAAAGTTAAACTCAAGGTGTTTGATTTTAATTTTCAACGACACGCTTTGTATGGTGTTAGTTGGAAGGTGGGCTTCATTCCAGTTCTTCTGCAGTTCACGGTCAGCAGCTGTCGATTAAATGGAATTTCTATGTCAGTGCTCTGTCACCTTGATGTGAAATACATTACTGTTTCTTTGCACTGCTACATGGATTCACCCAGAGCAGTTATTTCTTCACATTATCATATTTATTGTTTAATCTAAATGAACAACTCTGCACTGCATTTATGCAGTTCTCAAACTGGAGCTGAGGATTCTTTTCAGTCTGAGGAATGAAGGCTTTTCCAAAGACAGTGACTTTTCTCAGCATTTTTAAATTAAATTTCTACAGCATGACAAGTTAATCGTTGCTTTTACTTATAGAGACTATAAAATGTCTTTAAATGTAAGAAGTCAACTCAGAACTGGTGTCACAAAATAAAATAAGCCTGACCCTTACGTTACGTAATTTATGTCCAATTTTTTAAAATCTTGACTTTGGTTGGTAGAAAATCAATTCATCCATCATGGTAACCACTTATTCCCTGATGGGGTCATGGGAGCCTATCCCAGTAGTCAACAGATGGTCCGCCAGTCCATCTCAGGGCCACACAGAGACACCCAAGAACAAACAACCACGCACACTCACACCTAAGGGCAATTTGTCATGTCCAATCAACCAAACATGCAGGTTTTTAGATGGTGGGAGGAAGCCAGAGAACCTGGAGGGGACCCACGCAGACACAGGGAGAACATGTAAACTCCACACAGAAAGGTCCTGGTTCCCCCGGGACTCGAATCCAGAACCCTCTTGCTGTGAGGCGATGGTGCTAACCACCACACAACCGTGTTGCCCAGGAAATAAATTTCGAAGAGTAATTAAAACGGTGACAATATCAATGAGTTTCAAGCATTTTGATTCCAGCATCATAGTATTTTTTCTTCCACTCTGTGTTTAGCAACAAGTTGGTTAAACAAAGAGTTAAACTGTTGAAGTTGAGGAGCTGATCAGTTAATTGGGGTGTAATTTAACAATTTAGTCTGCAAAGGGTATTTCAGTGGATCCTCCTTCTTTAATCTATTCTGAACTGTCATGATCGCTGTCTTTGTTTGCTTTTATGGCTGTGTTTGTGTTTTCAGCTGTGAGTGTTAAACAGATGGGAAGAAACGGTTGCCCAGACAGCGTGCTTGTGACTTTCCTGTCAAGGCTGCACATTAGTCGAGCTGCAGAGCAGCTAGTGTTTCACTTGGTGAAACACTGATCATATTATTACATTTCTTCATAGATGGAACCCAAATGAAAGAGAAATGAACAGGGCTGATAGCAGTAGTTTGAGTGACAGGGCTGATCAGCTGCCATACCCAGATGACAGGAGTGGACGGCTGAAGCCAGGGACAACAGTATGAGATCTTTGAGAATTTAATTCGGGCTTTCATTTGGAGCGTGTGTGGGCTGAGGTTCTGAGCATATGTCTGTGTGAAGTCCGTGTGATGACAGGACAGACGCTCAGTAATGACAGAGATTTTACAATTTCTTGCCACAACACAAATCAAACTCACCCAGCTCGGTGTGCGTGTGCTATTACCTCTCTCCAGAAAGGGTTTATTCATCCAAGGGAGAGATTATAATGTTTCCACTAACCCACTATATGAGGGGAGTTTCTCTTTGAATTTTTTTTCTTTAGATTTTTGTCTATTTTTGCTCTCTTTGATGTTTCAGATACAACACAAACCTTTCAGACTTACTTTTCTAAGGCTCTTCATCACAATGGCCTGACTGAGGAAAAGGGGATGTTTTAAATTAAGCTGTTATTGGGGGAGCACATGACTGTGGATGTGACATCATCCTAAGGGTGCAGAAGGGGAACACATGTCTTAGCTAAAGTGCAAGACTGGAGCAGGCTGACACTGCAGCTTTAGACGGTGGGGATGTGTGCCTCGCTGTGTGTGTGTTGCCGGGGAACTGTGCTGTGGAATGTCTACAAGTTCATCACAAATTCTTCACAAGAGATGAGGCACAGCAACTTCCGAAATGTGCTCTCTGGCTGTTGATTTGAAAGTACTTTTAGCATCATAAGTTGGTACTCTGGAGAGAAACATCTCCAAAAAAATCTGGTTTGAGACATTTTGATAGCACACACTCAGCTTTGAAAAGGCATTATGAGCATCAGAGGTCCAAATATTTAGTCTGACCCGTAAGTATGGACACTGCTAACACTGGACAATGCAGTTTTCATTACATAGTGTTGAAAACATTGAAATCTGGATGAATAGTCATTTTGGCATGTTCAGCTAACAGTGTAGTTCAGAGCATCTCGGTGGGAATCGGATGCAGCTTGACGCTTGTTTGACAAAAGCTGGGAATCATCAGGCATGCAAGCGGGTTCCTGTGCGTGTCTGTGTGCGCGCTCATTTAGAAAGTGATGTCATGACGGGCAGATGGAACATGCTGGTAAATGCCGGAGCAGAAAATAGAGCGCACATTTGCCACCGGGCAAAGGGTGGGGCGGTTTGGAGGAGAAAAAATAGACGCTGTTACTTCACTTCAGATTTCAGTGGTGTCACCACAGATGTCAAAGTAGCTGCCGGAGAGGCAAGAGTGTGACAGACACTTGCACACTGCACTGAGCATTCCTGGCATTACAGCTCGCTGACAAACAATCCTAACTTTATCCAGTGAGCTGTGCAGCTGAATGGCTGCAGTGTGTGGAGTTTACCCACTGTGGAGGGCCGCAATCCGCCTCCTCTCTGTCCCCATTCAAACACTGTGATGTCTGACAGGGCCTGTCAACTCAGTTTATCATCGTGATTCGATCGATTATCCCAATATGCACCATGAATTTTTTGCAAATCTCCATTGTGCTTTGAAAATCTACAGAATTCATGCATTCTCATCTACAAATCTCCTCACTGTGGCAGCAACACAATGCTTTCTCAGATTTACATCCCCAAGATATGCCAGAGATTGCTGCCAGATACCTGTTCCACATCTGTGGCTATAAATAGCGCCGTCAGCTAGTATTGAAAAGATTCATATGCACAAATTCGACGGCAAAACTGCTTTTATGAAAACGCTGCAGCCCAACATCCTCCAAGCCTTAAGAAAGATATAACCAATGCTCATTTTATTGTTACAAGTGCATACAGACAAACATGATGAGCATGTCAGATAATTCACGTTGACTCTGAGACCCAATAAAAACCCCAAAATAGGTTTTAGTTCTTAAAATACGGAGGGTAAAAATGGTAAAAGGTAAAACAAAATAAGAAAATATTGAAGATGAAATGTGTATTTGCAGTCAAAATTGCTTCATGGTGGTATATTGGTTAGTTCTGTCACCTGATGGTCTCCTGGTTTGAATCCCTACAAGTTTGCATTTTCTCCATTGCATGTCTGTCCTAATGACAGATGGGAAGGCTTAATTGAACCCAAACTGTTGTGGTGTCAGCTCAGGTAGCCCTGCACCTCGGTTGGGGGTATACCCTGTTTTTAAAACCGATGCATGTGGCTCATGACTTGTCAGTGTATATACTAGAGTAGGAGTGAGAACAGGTCGATCAGTTAGTTCCCTTTATCTAAAAAGCTCAGTAAGTTTTTATCAGTAATTATTACACACCAATACATTATTCGTAGGATTTAGTCTTCTTTTAAAGAATAGAGTATCATATGCATTTGACATTGAAAGTTCTTAAAACATGGCTTAATTTTCAGTTGTGGGGCATAAGGGAAATAAATACGAATTCAACGTTTGAAGGATTTTTAAATGTTACTTTTTCTCAGACTCAAGTGTTCTTCATTTTCTGCTTCACAGTTTTGCAGCTGTTTCTGACTGAATATAGGGCATTTTCCAGTTGGAGGATAAACAAGACATGCACAAAAAAGAGTAAATGGTCTCGGGGGAAAGTTTGAGACTGCAGCTTGAGCAGCTTTACGTCTGTTCTGGAGGATCGAGTGATAGACCAACGTCCTCAGAAAAAAAAAGAAGCAAAAAAACTCTGAAGCCCTGTTCAGAAGTGGGCTCGAGTGATGTTACCACATGCTTGCCATCATACCAGTAAGACATCCTGTGGAGCCCATCAATAAGGCTCCTTTCACTTGTGTCCGCCTTTCTGCA